CACTAGCAACACGCACTGGTTGTACAATCTAGTTTTGACGTTTTGAGGTATGCCTGATGAGAAGATGTATAATCTCCCACACGCTGCCCAGCCGAGTTGGATCCGTCGATTTTTTTTTATAGGATAAGGGTGACAAACGAGCACACAGTCCACCTGATGATAAGTGTTTACTGTGGCCCATAGACATCTACATCTATCCTCTATTACAAATCAATATGTAGATGCGTTGTCACCCGTGAGGACTAAGATGGAATGCCTCATTTCCAGTAAAGAGGGCCTCCGGCCACCTGCACTCACCAAGCGAAACGCAGAGGTAAACCTCTACTTCACGCTGGTTTTCTGTGAGGTCGTGGTACCACCCCGGTTCGAGCCGGCCCATCCGTGCGACAGCAAAAGCTGCCGCGTGGCTCTACCACTGTTGACCTCTCGGTCGCAGTTGGACTTACCTAATCGGACTATTTGTCCTCAGGTAAACATATTCGTTAATAACTTCGAGCTTAGTGTTCCCCAACAACTACCCTCATAGGTGTGACATGGACGTTAAACATGATTTTAGTTTTTTCCATATTCATCTTAAGACCTATCCGTTGGAAGACACTATTGAGGTCATTGAGCACAGTGCTTAGGTCCTCCAGCGTTTCTGCCATAAGGAATATATCGTCGGCAAATCTAAGGTGAGTGATTTACTCGCCATTGACGTAAACACCGTATCCTTTCAGTCCAGTAGCTTGAAAACGTCTTCCAATGCAGCGATGAAGAGTTTCGGGGATATTACCTCACCCTGTCTTACACCTCTCTGCAGTTGAATAGATTTCGTACCCTGGTTCTGTACTCGGATAGCCATCGTAGCCCTACAATGCAAACACTTCGGCACTTCGATATACCGACAGTCTACTTGACACTGACGGAACTGCAGCACCGCCTAAATTTTGACGGAATCAAAGGCTTTCTCATAGTCCACATACGCAAAGCAAAGTAGCAGATTGTACTCCTCGGTCTTCCGTAAAGTTTTACGAAGTGTATATATGTGTTCTATGGTGCTAAAGTCTATTTCGGAAATCGGCTTGTTCGGTTGGAAGTTGTTCAGTCTATATAAATTACAAGAATTTTTATTGAAAGTCATTAAATCTTTTACCACTGTTTCGTAAAAAAAAGAATTGTCAGCTTGTAGGACTGTACATCACGTCGAAAGTGAAAACGTCTTAGCTTCACGAAGGTATAAATTACTTTTTATTATATAACTTTCTAACTTGAATAGCCTTAATATAGATCCCACTCTTTTTTCACGTCCCTCCAGATATTTAAACGATCGAAACTCAGGTACGTAAATAATCGATGTCCACGTATTATTATAATGATGGTTAAATTAAGTGTCTGGGTGGTAGAGCTTTGTCTGTTTCTGCCGGACCCACTGCATTCCGGTTTCGAGTGTTTCGGTGGGGCTTAGAGCCAGTATCATTAAAAGCTGTGAGATTTTTTATCCTAATCTTCAGCGATTACAATCCGTCTAAGGACTTCATTGTTTGAAGTTGCTTACAGATACCCATGAACTGTAATGCCCTATTACAGACAGTAAGACTAAAAGCTTTTTTGGCGCAAATAATATAATTAAAAATATTCCGACGTATTCAACTGTTAGATTATGTTTTAATTCCAAACATGAATTTAGTTTATGCACTCAGAGTAGAAACATTGTGTATCATTTCCTAGGCAAAGTAGTTAACTTATGGTCGAACAACGCCAGAAACTGCAATAAATAGAATGTTCTTGCTTGTACTAAATACTAGTTAATATTCTACAGGGCAATTGTAAGTTTGTAATTTTAACCATACGAATATTGTACTCGTAGCATGCACCGCACGTTATGCTTGGAGAACTTTACGATTTTCTATTATATACATATATGAATATTATATGATAATATAAATCGGTGCATTATATAAAGCAACTAGAATGTCGTCTAAATAGTTACATTAAAAACTTCATACTTTATTTTGACTCCCTTAGAGGTGTTATTTTTTCTTAAACTAGTACAAATTCAATAGTACCTGAAGTGTACCTAAAGTATATAACCTGTTTTATAAGAAATAGTCATTAAATAAGTCAACGAATATATCACATATTATACATACGAAAGAAAAGATGACACAATCAAATTGTGAACTTCTTTTGCAATTACATTACAATGCTTACCATGCACATTATTATATAACAGTTATAGATTTGGTTGCATTAGTATATTACATTTTCACTTTGACCCTGTTTGGCGGAGTAAGAGAATTTATCACCCGATTTTGTCTCATGGTTGTTTGAAAGAGGTGACTTTTTGTTAAGCAAGAAAGAACTTACGACTTCTTGCAGATAGCAATATTGCCACCTCGTCAGCGTGAATGTTTTTTTTTATAAGATAAGGGTGACGAACGAGCACACAGTCCACCTGATGGTAAGTTGTTGCTGGGGCCCATAGACATCTACATTTATCATCGATTAAGAATCAAAATGCAGATGCGTTGTCACCCGTGAGGACTAAGATGGAATGCCTCGTTTCATGTAAAAAGGGTCTCCGGTTCTCTTGATTTTGCGAAACGTCTGGTACTGTGACCGTTGTGCGAAAACAGCTTGATTTCTGACTACGAATCATTCATCCAAGCTTACCCCCTAAAATACCCAGACAGGCAACAGGCAGCTGCATCATCGGCGCTGGCAGCGTGCGAGACGTTTAAAACTGCAATCGTCGCACGATTACACCTGCCAAGCGTGGCTATTTAGGCAAATCCTCTCTACACAACGGGATCCAGCAGCAGCCTAACAACTTGTCCCCTTCAAAGCGCAAGCCCTCCCATATATTGCTACAAGTCAAAACCTGTCTGCACCGTCTCACTTATTACATATTTATATCATTATCAAAATTCATTTTAGCCTCCTGCCCCCCCTCTCCCTCCTAGCACCCGCACTAAATGCTATTCCAAAACAATTGAAATTATCATTCATTTAAAATTAGCTTTTAAAAATCACATTTTGAAATTCTAAAGATACGCCATGGCTTCAACAAGTGTCTACTTACTGTAAGAGTGTTCGCGCCGACCGCTAATTTCAAGAATCGACGCCAGGGGACGCGCAGAGCGGTGATTTCCTACCGTTTGACGTTCGCGCGGGTTGGTTGCTTGTGGGGCGGGCCGGAAGTGATTGAATGCAGTGCAGTCACTAGCGCGGCGTGTTCTCCCCCGGTATAACCTTTTGCTAGCAAGTTTTTATGCACCGACGAGGATTTTATTGAGTTTAGAAAAATAGATTGACGGCGCGGATCAGTTAACTGTTTAGGAAGTTAACATTGATTGCGATCAACGTCTGAATTTGTGTGAAATTATTGAAAGTATTTTTTTATTTACCACCGGTTTGGAAAATAGCTCTGTCCTGGGAAGAACCAGCAAGAAACCCAGCGGGATTTATTATTTTTATGTTTTTTAAGTGTAAAAAAATTAAAATGTGAGTACGCTTGTACAAAGTTATCGCGGTATGATTAATATGAAACGTCAAAAGGTATTTCTTAGATTCGGTTGAGTATAAATATATCGTTTCCGAGATAGACATCACGTGAAAGTAAATAAACCCTAAAGAAATATTAATTTCTTTTGGGAACAGCTTACAAACTACATTATGTATCCATGTTTTGATTGTTATCAAGAAATGTTAAACATCTTTAATATAATTATTTTCAGCAAATTAACGTCTGATTATATTAATTCATTGTATTTGTTTAAAAAAAAACCAAATTAATCGCTACATATATCGTAAAATTATTTTTATTCAATGTGGTAGTGGCGTAAGATAAACCATTCAGTGACCAAGTGGCGCTTGAGCCGTTCGGACGTGTGTCATTGCGCGCACGGTTATAATCGATTAGTATTTTTTTTTGTGTTTTACCCGCCTCTACGGCCGGGCCTCGTGGGGCCGGCCGTTTTGTTGTACAATAATGGAAGCCGATCTTATTTCGACTGAGTCAGCGGAGGAAATAAGAGATCATCTTTTGGAAGACCCAATACTAGATGAAATGTCTGATCTTTTGGATGAGCAATTAGACTACGAATCTAGCCAAATATTAGGCAAAAAAGGAAGGAAAGGTTCGTCTTCGGACCTTCAGACCGAACAAAAAAAAACTAAAGGAAGTGAGCAAGGGGACTGGGAAAAAGTACAAAGTAGAAAAGAGAGATCTAAAGAAGTAAAAGGTAGTATTGAAATATGTATAACGTCTAAGAAGAAGTTCCCGAAACAGTTTGCCCTTGCCAAATTATTTAAAAATCAGAATCTAAACATTGTTAGAGTTAAATATATTAATTCATTCAAAATAATTGTAGAGCTATATGGAGAAAAAAATGCTGATTTGTTAATACAGTGTGATCATCTTTTGGGAATGGGTTGGAGGTTTCAGCGACCATTTGAAGTAGGACTATCTTATGGTGTGATCAAGAACATCGATTAGATCTATCAGAAAAAGAACTTTTTGAATCGATATCTTGCTCAGTTGAGGTGGCCAACGTGAAACGACTCAAACGCAGAAAGCAGGGTGATGAAGAATCTGGCTAGACTGAAAGCGAATCGGTTCGAGTTGGGTTCAAAGGGCCTTCGTTACCGTCGTATCTATGCATATATGACATACAAGTTAATGTGGAGCCATATCTATTTCCGGTTACTCAGTGTTCGAGATGCTGGCGCTTTGGGCACACCCTTAGAATGTGTCCTTCAAAACGCAAATATTGCCCAAAATGTGGAGGCAGGCATGAGAATTGCGACACTACCATTTTTAAATGTAATTATTGTACAGAAAACCATATGGCATTGAATCGGCGGTGTCCAAAATATATAAAGGACAAGAAGTTACGCGAAATAAAGGCTGAATTTAATGTTTCATACAGGAAAGCTATGACAATGTATGTAATCCCCGAAACACCTACTTATGAGCGTGCTCAGTCACCAATTAAAGGTTAGGTAGTTTAAATACGATGCCTCAATTGCCGGAACCTACCCCAGGAACTTCGAAGGAGTTCCTCAGCCCCATTTTGCCGGTTCAGGACAATTTTACACCAGTTACTTATGCACAGGCCGTGTCATCGACATCCCTTGACAAGAACCATATTGACAGTGGGGGAAAAAGATCTGTTCAAAATAAATACATAACTAAGAAAAATATCAAGAAGAAAAAAATTCAAGAACCTAGTTTAGAAGAATATTTACATGATGAAAATATGTCGACAGAGATTGAAAGTAGTGTGTGTGATCAACCAGTGCCTGAACAAAAGAAAAAGAAAGGTCGTAGTGTATTCCTTTTCGTATCTAATATCCCCTTTTTTAATTTATTAAGCCAACTTAAAAGTTTTATCTTTGAAAGTAATGAGCCTTTGAAGAGTAGAATCGAGAATTTAGTGCACCTATGTTTTGAATGGGCCAACACATGGATTTTAAAAAATATCTCGAACCTGTCTTTTTTTCAAAATTTATTCAGTAATTATAGGTAGTCAGTCTTAACATTTTGCAATGGAATGCTCAAAGTATTAAGTCAAAGTTAGTGGAATTTGAACAACTTATGTGTCAGGAGAAAATAAATATCGTCGCGCTCTCGGAAACATGGTTGAACCCTGATATAACACTTAACTTAAAAGAATACAGTGTATTAAGACTTGATTGGGCAGACTCTTATGGCGGAGTGGCTTTAATAATACATAGATCTCTTTCGGCTCAGATGCTTCCACTGCAGAGTGCCAATGCGGCTATTGAAGTGATGTCCGTTAAAATCTCTAATTGTGAAATTGTTGAGAATATAATATATTTATATTGTTCTCCTAGTGCTCGAACTTCGTGTAGTGATTGGGATTCAAAATTTTCGTTTTCTGATAAAAATATCCTAATACTTGGACATTTTAACGGACATCACCCCAATTGGTCGAATAAAACTGACTCTAGAGGCACGCAAATTCTGGACTCGTTAGAGGACTATAATTTTGTTACTATGAATGATGGCAGCCCTACGCGATTAAAATTGGTTGGTGGTACTTTACAACAGTTAGCTCCTGACATAACATTATTATCATCTGATATCGCTTTTAAGTTCACTTGGAATGTTACCAACGAGTGTTTAGGTAGTGACCACCTAATGATTAAGATTTCAACGTATTTGAATCATTATCCAATTACTCATAAAAGGCGCAACTTTAAAAAAGCTGATTGGGTGAAGTATCGTCGCGTAATAGAAGAGCAGTGCGTTCAGTTTGACATTTCGAGTAACCCACAAGAAGCCTATGATGATTTTATCAATTTGTTGTTTAAAGCTGCAGGCGCAAGTATTCCATTTGTTAAAATATGCCTTAACCCTAAGGCCTCATCCTCATCTATCTCAGGCTGTTGCTGAGAGACTATTAGCACTAAATTTTTTTTGGACAGAATCCCACACCCGCTAATTTAAATAAACTGCAGGAAAAAACTCGCAAGTCGCAAAAACTAATTAGAAATGCTAAAAGTAAAAGATGGTGGGAATTTTGTTCGTCCTTGAATGAAATATCTTCAGCTTCTGAAATGTGGAGAAGAATGCAATGGTTAAAAGATTATAGATCAGCTAAAAGACAAATTGATAAATGTATCGCTGAGTCATTACTGTGCAGCTTAACCCCTGACTATGTAAGTCAATCCTACCCGGGGTACACATCTCATAATCTCAAATTGGAAACTGAAATATCTAGGTCAGAGCTTTTTAAATGTTTAAAATCTAAAGACACGTGCCCGGGCGTAGATGATATTTCTTATTCAATGTTTTTAATCTTCCTGTAGCAGGCAAAAACGTTTTGCTCAAACTTTACAATATGTTTTTTACACTAAGCTTTGTTCCCTATCAATGGGTAAATACTTAAGTCGGACAGGAACACTAATTGTATTTCATCTCTTAGGCCTATTTTCCTTATTTCGTGCGTATGTAAAGTATTTCATGCCATTATCAATAACCGTATAGAGTGGTACGTTGAAAACAAAAAACTATTTTCTGAAGAAACTAAAGGATTCGGAAAATCACATTCTTGTCTCGACAATTTAACCGGTTTAGTCACAAACATTCAAATAGGATTTACTAAATTTTTTTTACAATAGGATGCTTTCTAGATCTAGAAAATGCATATAATAATGTAGACATAAGTTATCTTTTATCAACCCTCGATCGTGTTAATGTTGGCGCAAAATTTTGTAACTATCTTTTGGCTTTCTTAAGTCAAAGATATTTAATGATTGAAAGGATAAATTATAAAATAATTAGAAGCACAGGTCGCGGTCTAGCATAAGGTGATCCACTTTCTCCGCTATTGTTTAACATAGCAACAATAGATATATGTAAGTCTATAACTTCCAAATCACATCTTAATATCTCTCAGTATGCTGATGATTACGTCATATTTATAACTTCTAATAACTGGAAACAGGCACAAAATCAACTTCAATTATTCTTTATTTACAATTTTACATAATACTCAATTTTATCTACAATATTAAAAACTATGATAATAAAAAAAAAAAACTAAAACTAGAAACTTAATTATCATATAGTCCTACTTCCCGCGGTATCGTGCCAAGAACGCTGGCTGCGTTTCCCCGCTGAATGGCTATACTTAGCCTTTGAGCGAGGAAAGAACCAGCCCTCTTATCACCAGCAGCAACGACCAGCCGCGGATGGAGTTCCTTTAGGAACTTCACCGCACGTGGACCCCACGGACCGATAGTCTCTACAGCAAATGGCACAAATATGTAGTCATCTCTCAGAGACTCATATTTGCGCCACTTACTCAGCTCTGCTGCCTCTGATGCCGCCCCGGCTTTAAACGAGGTACCCCTGAGATGAGAGGCCGCCAGAGTGTCTACGCAAGTAGCATCCCACACTAGGGCTTTACCTCTCTCCCAAGGGACCAATGTCATACCGTCGGGTCTCTTGCCATCGTCTCTAAATATTCCACAAGGCTCTAAAACCGAGGGAACATTTATAGAGGCAAGAGCCCTTCGGATGACATCGTTCAAAGAACTGTGTCGTGAAAACCTACCAGCGCTTTTCTTACATGAAAGTCCGTGGAGCCAAACTTGTCGACGCTGCTACCACAGGGGCACTGATGGGGTTGACAAATCGCCGCTCCTAGTCGGATTCCTACGGCAATACGCAAGCTTTCCCTATCAAGTAATGTGCCGAGATTACTTGATGGTAAAGCGTGTAACCAGTGACTAGATTCCTTAGTCGAAACAGCTAGAAGGCGTGCCTTATCTTGGTCACTATGGAAATTATGAAACAAATCCTTCTGCACGCCCTGTACCAACGGAATATCCCACTGTTTTTGTTGGTTAACTTCCAGTGGAATATTTTCACCAGGACAGAGCGTTTGCCATGTCTGCCCTGCCTCCGTAGCAAGGCATAGGTCTACTTTATTATTTAAAATTATGTTACATAAGTCACTGACACTATGCACGGAATCAAGGAAAGCAGGCAATGCAACGCTAGAAAGATTTCTCACACCAATGCCACCAAATTTTATAGGTAAAGTAGCTTGAGCCCAGGCTGTTGTATTTAAAGTTAAATTTAGAATTTTTTCTATAGCAATTTTAAGATTATTATCAATATCTTGTAAAATATCCGAACATTTCCAGAATGGACTCGAGCGGAGTAATGATGTAAATCTAGATACAAGAAGACAATATTTTAAAATAGTAAGAGCTATGTGGGGGTTTAATTTATACAATTTATCAACGTGGTTTAAAAACTGATCAAATTTTGTTTTTAAAACAGGTTTAATACTATCGAAAAACAACGGGGCACCTAGCAGGTATAGTGATTCCGTATTGACAGTGACAGAAAAAAATATTTCACATTTATTGCTATTTGGTTCAAGGCCAATATTTTTAAAATTTCGAAAAATATGAGTAAGATCGCTGAGGACGTCATCTGCTCTACCTCCCAGTGTACCGTCGTCTAGGTACCAGACATTCAGCTTGGATTTCAAATTTGAAATAAAGGGTTGAATTCCCAAACTGAAAAGTGCTGGACCCAGAGGGTCACCCTGCTGAACACCAACAGCAGAATCGATAACATGATTTTCGTAAAACAAGTTAGTATTTTGACTATAACATCGCCAAACGTAATGATAAATTTCGGGGGTATTGATAGCCACTTCTTTCAGCAAGGTTACCCTATCGATAGAGTTAAAAGCATTCCTTAGGTCAACCTTCACAAGAACATCTGCATCAGAGTTTGTTAAAAATGTACGCACTGAATGTACCGCCGCCTCACAGCCACCTCTAGTGCCAAAACCTAGTTGAGTAGGCTGAAATTTGGTCTTAAGATTAGAGATTATGTACCTGCAAGCTAATTTTGAAGTTAAGCGTCGAAATGTGGAACCAACGGCAATAGGACGGATACCGTTATCCTTTTTTTTGAAGGCACATAATCTTGCCCCATATAAGAATGGAATGAAATTTGGATTAACATTACCAGAAAGCATAAAGTTACATAATTTTGTAATGTCCTTAAGAAGTACTCCGCCGGCGTCACAGGCAGAAGCGCTTACAAGATCTTTAAGATGTTGAGGCGTAATTCCGTCAATGCCGCCAGCAGAGCCATTCGAAAATGACATAATTGCTTCTAAAGTGTCTTTTTCCGAAATTTTTAAAGGTTGCATAGAAGTCTTGGGAGGCAGCAGTAAACCCTGAGACGGTGTGACCGAAGGATGCTTTTGACGAAGGCTTTCAAGAGTTTCGACATTACGAGGAGCCAGGATGTCGTCTGAGAATAAAATACGGGATGCATTTTTTAAGTCGCCATCCATTACTTTCGACTCAACTACTTTTTTTAAATCAAATTTAGGACGTGGTCGAGATAAATCAGTATTAATTGGGTAATCTAAATTTTGAAAAGATGTCTCTTTTAGTTGAGACGTAATTGATTTATTTATTGTTTTATCAAAATGAAAATGGGAATACGCGAAAGTAAATAATTTTTGCCAACTATTTTCACTATTAGTGAAACAATTTTGAATAGTGCATGACAATGCTTTAGCAAGCTGCATCCTCGCACCTCTAGGAATTATTTTAACCACTGGTACATTACGATAATAATTGTAAATTTGCTCAGAAAAAAGGGAAACATTTGTGTCAATAGAGGAATTGCTAAAAAAGTTATGAATTTCTACGGCAGGCTGTGAAGACGAAATACTTTTACTATGGCATCGTTTAATATGAATATTTAATCCCCTTTTACCTTTAAACAGCCTACCGTCAGCACAATTTCGACACTGTAGGAAATCCGGCTGTGAATGTAGAGGAGCAGAGATATTCATTAAAAAATCTAAACAGATCTCTACAACACTCAAAAGTCTTTATATTGCATATTCATATTAACTTGAAATGTGCTGTACCCCGCATCTTTCCCTGAAACAATCATTTACGGCCTAAATAAAAGCACTTTACTCTATAAATGAAATATTATTACATTACTTCCCTGGATTTATTCCATATTTATAAACATTGTATGTATAGACGTTACGCTTTGACAGTTGTCAACGGCGCAGCAGAAATATTTTTCTTTATTAATTAGTATTATGTCTGAAATCAAAAAAATATTATTATAACAACTCTCTTATATATTTTCTGATCTTTTTGTTGAAATTTGTAAGCCAGAATTGGCCTCCAAATAACAAAATAAAATAATATAAATATACGTAGCTTTTGACAGTGAAAAATTTTGACATATATCAGACATTTTAAATGATTTACTTCTTAAAATAAATTTAGAAATTTCACCATTAAAAAGTAAAATATGCGCATTTTCAAGAGGGCGTCGACGACACAACATTAGTCTAAAAATTAAAGATGTTGCTTTGAAAGTGGTAGATAACGTAAAATACCCTGTAATGTTGTTGGATCAAACGCTACAGTGGAGTAAACATATAAACGAAAGATCTGAAAAAGTATTAAAGTTTTTAAATGTATTTAAAGTTTTATCAGGTTCGGGCTGGGGTGTCCACCCTAAACATTTACGGAAACTCTATAATTATTAGTATTATAAGAAGTCTGTTAGATTATGCGAGCTTTTTATATGATAACAGTAGTAAAACGAATTTATTAAAGTTAGATAAAATTCAAAACCACTCAATGAGAACTATAGGAGGTTACATAAAAAGCACCCCTATTCACGTTATAGAAAGCGATCTCAGTTTATGCCCATTACATTTAAGAAGATATTATCTTGGAGGCAAATTCTGGTTAAAAAATAAATCCATATTAAATAACTCTTCCATAATTTTATCTCTAGCCTATCCGATATCATTCAAAACAGGTATTGGAGTAATAAGAAAAAACCACTGTTAACAATAATCCATAATAAGTTTAAATCACTTGTTATACTTTCAAATTCAGAGTTAGGTATGTATTCGCTGTATCAGTGGATCACTAGTTTAAACCTTTCAGATTTTTTAAGACCAAATATAGATGGAGTCCTAAACCCTAAACATCAATACCATGAATTGACCTTGAAAAACATGTTCGTTTAGGTATTAAATACCTAAACAAACCCGACTTACTTGAAGATATTTACAGATGGTTGGAAAGATAATTTCGGAATCGGGGCTTCATTTTACGATATATTGCACGGTATGGCAATAAAGTTAAAAATCAATGGGAGTATTTCAATAATGAAAGCTGAGCTTGTGGCAATCTATGAAGCTTTATCCTACACACAGTCAAATAATTATAACAATGTCGTTATTTTAACCGATTCAAGGAGTGCGCTTCAACACCTTACTCGGTGT